TAGGATATCCAGTGCCAGCGGGAATCTTAGAAGACTGGTTTTGCATCGAGAAGTTATTTCAAAATTTGGTGAGGTTTTCCACAAGGATGTTCCTTCCAAACTGACTGAAGCAGCCAAGTAATAGCACTGTTCTCTGACCCCTCAAATAGCACTGACCCCTCAACCCTCCATTAAAGGGCTGCGAATTTTGCCTTAAAATATTTATAGGGCAAAAATCTGCTGTCTGTGACTTTAATAGATTCAGCCTGACTATAAGGAGCTGAATTTAGCCCGGCATTTACTGAACAGCCAGTCCTCCACCATCCCTTACTGAGTTGTAGATTAATCTCACCACGAAATGAGGTGACACCCAAACGGCCCGCCTCGTGCCAACAGCAGTCACTTACGCAGCACGGGATGCAATTAATTTGCGAAAAGGCAGATTCAGCAAAAGCAGTGGAGCATTACCCAGGGGCAGCGTGCTGCTCTGGGACCTGAGCTAGTCAGGACTAGCGTGTGGGGGAACCTCAGCTCCACACTGACTCGGACAATCAAGATTTGGCTGCAGCTATGTGTGAGACTTCCAGTCAGTGGGAACCAACAGCAGAATTTGTCCCTCTAGGGACCAGCATGCATAGCTACGCTGCTCACCTCTATTAATAAAATGCATTTTGCTCTGGCTTTCATTGGAAGGAATTCAGCATATAAGGTTACCCTGTAAAGAGTGAACATTGAGAAAAATGTCATGTTAGCACACAGGGAAATGCCACGTTAGCACCATGAGAGAGGGGCAAGCATTTTGTTTGCCTTTTATTAAAATTGCCAAACCCACAGCAGTGACACAACCCCCTTCCTGGCCCTCAGAGTCAGCAAGACTGTGGACACTGGTTCAGCCTCCCCTTTCCACATCAGAACAAAACCCCAGCATTGCCATGGAGGACAGAATTTGCCCTGTTTGTGTGATTTTGTAACCCTAGAGCTGTTAGCTAAAGGCAGCAGTTCTCGCTGCACGTGTTTGCACAACCCTGCTCTGGTCTGGGACAGGCATTATGTGGTCCATCACTCAACATAAACTCTTGCTGGGTAAAGTATTTCTTCAGAACTTTACAACCAGCTCAGAGAATTTCACCTCAGTCTACTCTGCCAGGTTTCAGTTCTCCAAGAGGTGAATACTTTCAAGGTCTGATCCTGTTACTGGTATAAAACAATTTGCATTTTTTTATTGTGGGAATTCAAAAAGAAATTGCCTAACTGTAGAGGCTTTGTTTCATGACTGTGCCAAAGAGTAATAGTACAGCTTCTCTGTGAGTACTTCCTGAGGATGAACGCAAGGGCCAGCAGCCAGTCAAGGCTCCCTCGTCTTTTGCAAACCATCTGGTAAGACTTGTCGTTCTTTGCTCCTGCTCTGTTTGCATTCCATTGACTCAGCCTGTTTCTGCCTCTAAACTCCTTAGGCTTTCTCTGACGTTTGTGACAAAACTCCTCCTAACTTGACAAATGGTGGATTGATCTCTGGGTATCTTCCCAGAACTCAGTTCATCAAAGTTGCAGACAATATTATATTAAATCAGTGGTTAAGAGGAGAAGGAAGTAAAATCACATGATGAACTGTAGAGCAGTCCCCTATCTGTCGCAGCAGAAAACGGGAGCTGATTAATGCTGTACAGAACTGTTTTCTTATGAAAATGCTCCGTATCTTTGCAAGCCTGGATGCTGGCACTGGGAATGAACAGTCATACTCAGCGTTAGATAAAATCTCACAGAAAATTCCCAGAGGAGGCCACAGCTTCTCAGGCGCAGCTCCTACATACGTACAGATAGAGGGATATCTGCTAGAGCCAGTTAATTTATTGTTGCTGGATGTTTGGTTTTTAATAGCACCTTTCATAAAAAAAATATCTCTCAAACCCATTATAGAATGTACAATTATAAAGACACCCATGTCATTCCATTGAAATCCAGCTGCTCATATCCAAAGCTACGTAGTCTACTTAAGGATATGAGAAAGGAGCTACTTCTCCTCCTTCATACATATTTACTCCTCTGTCAAAGGAATCACTGTTATAGTTAGAACAGAAACAGACTCAGCAGCAGTGGAATCCACTCTGAGGCCTGTAACCGGCTCCTCCTCGTCTCTCATCAAGTCACGGAGCCTTTGTGCCCTCCCCGCCCCCCTGTAAAATGGCACTAGCTGTGCTCCAGCTGTCCCACCGGGGCTCTGGGGAACATCATGAATATGTGTTTGCAGCGCAAGGCATTATTAACTCGGATGCTGTGTTGTTCTCCTGCCTCGTTCCAGTTGTGCTCGGCTGGGACTGCGTGGCAGAAACTGCCTCACCGTTGGGCAACACCCAGCAGGCTGAGGGCTTTCTGGTTTACACACACGTTACGCTTTTGTGCGGCTTCTAAAGGTGGGCAGGAGAGTGGTGAAAGAAAATTAATAACACTGTGATGTTCCATCTCCGCTCTCCATCTTTTATCTGGGAATGGCAACAGAAAGGACATGATATTGACTTGCCCTGTGAAGAAGTCTATGAGCCATCAATCAAAGTTAGCCTCTGACTACTCTGAAATAGCACCTCCGTGGGGCAAAACATCAATTATTAATAAGGATAAAAGACTACACAGAGGGAGAGTGGCTATACTCGTCCCTTTACATTTATAATTAAAAGCCTAGAGCAGAGTTATTTATTCCAGGCGGAAAATTTAGAGGTCCCCCTCTTCAGTGACTGGAATGGCATGGTAAGAGAGGATCACCCTGATGCTACCTTCTCATTAGAAATGTGTCTGGGCCATCAAGATATCTCCAGTGCTCCAGGTTTGGGCTGTGTGGTTTTGGAATTCCAGCTCAGGTTCAGACTTGAAATTTCAGGCTCTGACTGAACAACAAGCCGCAGTTTTGCAGGCAGGGCGCAGCTCTACCCCTCAACGGCCGTGTTTAGGTCGTGACCCAGCTTGAAATCAGACCATGTTGTCCCTTACAGACTCTGCCAGTACAATCTTGCAACACAGGGTTTGGGCATGGCTGCAAAATGCTGTCTGGTGGGTTTCACCCCCTGCTGGGGGGCTCTTTGGGCCTCTCATTTTCAGCATGCTTTACCTGAGGGAATCGAGAAGCTTAAAAGGACTTAAGGGATGTGACATGTTACACTTAGGAACCCAGTTTGTTCACGCAGAAGTCATTGTAAATTTGATTCACCTCAGTGATGTATTAATTCCCTTCAAAGCCTTCTCAGAGTCTACTATAGTAGTTCCAAAATACTTAGAAAAAAGTGGGTTTGGTACAACTGAACAGAGACATGTCTTCAATTTGACATAAGTATTAAAAAAGAAAAGAGAAAGCTTGGACTTGTGAATATTTACTTACGACTGAGGCACTCCTCCAATCCCAAAGCCCACCAGGCCCCTCAGCACCAAGATCCAGCTGTACACTGGTGCAAACCCACTGAGGATCCCATAGTAGAGCGTCCACAACACGCTGATCTTTAGGCCCTGTGTTTAACACACAAGCACAAGGAAAATGAAGTCTCTGCTGTAACGTGAATTAACGAAACATAAAGTAGAGCTTCAAATTCCTTTTATTTCATGGGAGGTCAATTTTGGTGCTGCTTAATTCTGCTTCACACACGTGGACTATGACATTTGTGAACATCAGGCACTGAAACATCCACACTGTAGAAATACCAGACTATATTTGAGTAAGAGCTGAAGACTTACTGTTTTTCGCCCGTACTGGTCTGAAATGTTTCCCCAGAGCGTGGAGCTGGACATCATTCCCACAAACACCACCTGCGAAACACCAGAAAAAAAATCTTCCCTTTAACAACAAGACAAGTGAAAATTTCCATGTGACAACAAAGAGAACACAACTTCCTGGTGAAACTAGAAAAGGTCAGCTCCAACAACAGAGCAAAACATCTGGGTGTTCTGAGTATAGTTCTTTTGCAGTAGAGACTATCAAAGATAATTATCCATATAGTGGGACTTTTCAAAAGTCACTAACTTCACTTCCATTGAAAGGGAATTTGCTGTTGCCCAGGAATGGGGATGAGTGTCAGCAGAGTGTTCAAGCCACGGTCTCTCAGCTTCTTCCAGTGCTGGGCCCCTTTTCAGTAGTGGCCTTGCTCTCGTTGAGGTCTATAAGAAATGACTGGAGAGCACAGTTTGCCACTAAATGGATTTCACTGTCTTGTTTCTGGGTTGGGTTTGGGTTTTTTTTTTGCTGAAGGGTTTTCATAACCCACAAAATAATCTTTCATCTGCTTCACAGCAAGGCCCCACAGAGAGTTTTGCAGCATGACTGAGGGGACAGGCAAGTGGAGCCAGGAGCAAGTGCCCAGGTTGGAGAGGAGAAGCAGCCAGGCACCCCTTGAGTCAGCTTTGCAATTAAAAGATCCATCCAGTGACAAACCAGTCTGACACTAGAATGTGCACTCTGGTATTACACATTGTGAGTCCAGCCCTGGAAGATGCTGAGTTCTCCAGTCCCAACAAACAGATCCATGAATAAAACACGATCAGTGTTGCTTGAGGTCTGCAGGACAGAGCTGTTGTAGGAGCCCAGCGCCGCCGCAGTCCATCGCAGCCAGCTCACCTCCAGCCTCCTATTGCCATTCTCAGCAGGTTGTCTCCAATTTGAATGGAGATAAAATTAGACCTTACAACTTCTGAAAATTCTGAAAAAAGGCTGAGGTGTCAAATACAATATATTGTACCCATTTCAGAGCTGACACCGAAAAGTATAGTTTATTCTGTAGATGGAGAGAGAAATTAAATCCTGCTCAATGAAGGCAATGGCAAAACCCAAGCACGTTTCCCCCTTCAGTGCATTAAAACCTTAGGAATATTGGCTGGGAAAGAAGTGCATACTCAAGCAATCAGTGGGGTAAGAAGCAGTTCTGTTTGTCAAAGCTTTTCCCTCATGTCCACTGACCCCTTCTCCTTCTGATTTTGCTCACCAAGAATAAAAGTGTGCTGAGCTGAAGGAAGGAACAAGACCCTCCTTCAGATGGGCTGGCTGCATTCAGGTATGGGAAAGGGCTTGATCTTAACTGAAGTAAATCTACTGACCATTCTGACCAACGTACACGGCAACACAAACAGCATTAAAGGCTAAAGGAAAAAGAAATGTAGGAGTTGAAGTGCCTGCCACCCAACAGTGGCATACGCTGAGAGAAGGGTCCCCAAACCAGTTTTCTTATCCCTAAAGGCATTGCATGTTTCCAACATCACGGCACCACACTCAGAGAGTGTATTATAAAAGCTCTGCTTGCAAAGATCACTGGGTGATGCACCTCGGAAAGAGGTTGCTTGCTGTCTCTCATGGCTCCCAGTCTATGCACAAGCGAGCTTAAATGTGGTGAGGGAGGAAGATTTTCAAGACAGACTAAAAAATTACCAATCCTTTTTTTCAATTAATGAAACGGTTGAATTTTAGGATGAGTCTGAGTCCATTCATACATTTTCCTGGAAATTACATGCAACTTTGACCTGAAAGTTTCCTCAGTTCTCACCGAGTTTCATTTCTTCAAGCTCTGGCTTTTAAAAAAAAAAAAGACTCCTATATTCTTCCGAGGCAAAGGCAATCTGCAAAGGCCATGAACAGATTTAACTTTGGGATATAAAGCATGATGTCTGAATAACAATGAGTGGAAAAACCTTACAGAATACAGGAGCTGTCAGTTATTTTTCCTACCGATGTGAGCAATGCAACCTGCCAGCTTGGTAATCGCCACTCACAATGAAGCTGAGGAGCTAGGATACTTAAAATCATCATTTCCATAGCATCTGCCATCTAGAAGGGCAAAAAAGAAACAACAATAAATAACTGCCTGAGAATTAGGTTGACATAGCAGTCAGTAATATACCTCCTGGAAATCAACCTCGTTTCTGCCCTGTGCCGTTCCCACCCTGCAGGTGAAACAAAACAGTTACGTTCACGAGGCACAGTGGATGTACACGGTGCAAAGAACAAAAGCAACGGGTGCACTTTTGGTCATTTTCGAATTTCAAGTAAAATTCCCTCTTTAGTGTACAATTATCTGTTTGGAGACTTTTTGTCCACAGAGTGGCTACATTATTTGAAATCACTGGGATTCTCTAACTGATGATCATGCAATTGACCTTGATAACAATTACTTGCCCACGCTAATCCAGTAATAACAGAGAGCTTCCACTGGAACTTTCCAAATCCAATGGCTTCCACCGCATCTTCCACCATGAAAGTATCTAGAAAGAAAACAATTCTAGTGCAGAAGTGTATTCCTTTCCTAGGAAGAGCCATCCCTTGAGACAGCATTTTCTGTGAACGCAATTAGTTATTTATCGAGTAATCTACTGAGATCAAAAATATCGAACAGAGAGCTACGTAGCTTTTATGCAGCTCCTACTCAGGAAAATCTCTGTGTTCTTCAGGGGTTGTGCTAAAGACAAAATAATTCTAGGCTTTCCTAGAAAATGTGATTCACATAGAATTCAATCAGTGAAGCACCAATGACTCCAGCACATGTTCAGCCCATTACTCCTGGGAGTGACTCCACCAGCCACTGAATTGCAGCTTCCTCTGGTGAGAAGGATGGTTCAACAGCACATAGCGATGCTATGCAAGTGATGGAAACTGCAGGAGAATATTTTATTGCACAGAGACTCAAACTGCTGTTATCTGAACCAAGAATTTGTCCAAGACACACATATCATAAAACATACTTTTGTTATAAATACTCATGTTTCTTGTTTCTCACACATTGTCATGACCTCATTATTTTGTTCTAGCTGAAGAAGCTGAGATATCTCAAATTCCTCTGCTCAAGATTAGATTGGACATTAGGAAATATGTCTTCACCAAAGGGGTTGCCAAGCACTGGAACAGGCTGCCCAGGGAAATGGTGCAGCCGCCATCCCTGGAGGTGCTTAGGAGATGTGTAGATGTGGTGCTCGGCGACACGGGTTAGTGGTGGACGTGGCAGTGCTGGGTTAACGGCTGGACTTGATGATCTTAAAGATCTTTTCCAACCTAAATGACTCTATGAATCTGTTCTATGATTCTACAAGTGCAGAACAAAATGTACAACCAAAATATACTTCGATATTCAAGTTGTTTAGATCAATTTAAGTCTCAAAGTTTTAACACTTCCAGCAGTTTAAAAAAGTACATTCACCACAGAAAGCTTTATCTAGCTGGGAGCTGGATATCCTCACACAGCAAAAGACAAAAACACAAACCAAAAGGAAATCAAACACAATCTAACTGCTACAACAACGCAGAGATGTCACAAGACCTCTGTTTGTGACTTCAGCCCAGGCATTCGATGCGGTGGCGCCGAAGCTCAGCATATTGGGCTGTTGCATCACTTGCACTCCTTTGGGCGACGCGCCAGCTGACACTCTACATCTCTCTGCAGACTTGCACTGATGCACTGAGTCTGTCGAGAAACTCACTGAGCTCACTCTGTGCTATTCTGGCTTCCTATTGCATCACTGTGTTGATAAATAAGTCCCCAGGAAAACAGTCGTCCTACAATATTGTAGTATGCCTTGTGCTAAGGCAAACCCAACACTTCTCATCTCTTCTAAACTGGTGTTGCCTTCAGGGCAGCCAGCATTTCTCTGCTAGGTGGAAAGCAGGGGCTAGGATGTACATTCATTCTGTCCCTCTTGTCCTCCAGGCAAGGAGGAGCCAGGAACACTGCTGGGGCTTCATGCTCAGCCTTGAAGGTGAGCCACGTGTAACGGCTCCAGTAAACCTGGCGATGTTTCAGGAGCACCAACCAGTTCTAAAGGAAAGGAAGGCAAACCTCCCGGATGAAATCGGTGGTGACAACGGGATACACAACTCCTTCAAAGGGTCTGTTACTGGTGATATGAAAACAAACACACAGAGCATCCCTCAGAGAACAAGATAGCTAAATCATGATTTTGAGGTGTAACATAATTTGCCCATGTTATTGCTCCCTTCTTTTATCTTTAACTTCTCTAAACCCAGCGTAGTCACCCTGGTTGCAACATGACTGCAATGAAGAGGCCGCACCTTTCTCCTTACAGGAAAACAGGAAACCTACTCACCATCAGTGGGGTTGGCAAATTCTTTTGGCACCGCAGCTCCATCCTCTAGCTCAATAGGCTCTAGCTCTGTCCGAACACCCTCAATCTGAATTTCATGTTCGCCTGAAATGACATCGTCATCTGACCTTGAACTTTCCCCAGTGCGGCGAAACTTGACCACCCTAAGAACACAGAAACGAGGATGAATGCTTTGGTGGGTCTTTTTGAGGTCGCAGCTGTGTCTGGTTGGTCTGGAAGCCCTATTTGGTCAAACAGCAGCCAGGTTTCTCCCCACTCTCCTGTCTCCATTTCACATTCACGGAGAATGCTGTGACTTTTATTTGGAGCTGCTTTTAGGTATGGTATCCTGTGGGTTGCTATTGGCTTTGGAAAAACTGCAGAGTACCTTGCTGTGTGATAGTCACCGTGTTTCCACAAAGAGGACGTTATCACACTAAACTATAAAGTTAAAAAAACATACAGGTTGTAGAAATGTAATGAAATTATACATATTTAACAATAACCGTGGTTTTGTGTGCCTAGACTTTTACTGCGAATTAGACATAGCTGTGTCAATGAATTTCAGGTGCTTTGTCCTTGTAGGAAGAGCCCAAATTCAATTTTCCACATTGTTTTCATAAGAGTGATTCATGTCTTAGAAGAAGCAGACCTCCTGAAATTTGTCAGATTTTTAAACATTACCTAGTGAAGCACAATTCATAAGACAATTCAGTGAATCGACTGATTTTTTTCCATGATGATGATGATTCTGTGACTATGAGTATGACTGCTTCCATCTCTTGTCTTAAACTGAAGTCTTTAATATTATGTAATTAATTCAACATCTGTATTTGAAGAAACTATTTTGTTTCCAGTACTTGGTGCACTTTTGGAATCTCTGAGGTAATGAGGTGGGGCAGAATAAGAAAGCGAATCAAAGGATACTTCTTTTTTCATCAAGTCCAAGTCAAGTCTGAGGAGCGTACCTGCCCGCCAGCTATAGCCCTGGCACATGAGACGACGATTGTCACGTGAGTGTCACGCTCGCAGCTGTCTGTATTTTATATTATTCCTGGCACCAACTGAGAGATAATCGTCTAACCTCTGCGGCGAGGCCACGGGGAGAGCGAGACGTGAGAACAGCACTTTGCTCAATTGACACAACGTTCACGTTTTGCTTGGAGCGGTTTTGTGCAGCCCTTCATGTGTATGGAGGAGATCCATTTCCATCAGTTGTTTCCTGTGACCAGAGCAAGATTTTGGAACAGATCTGCCATATTTAACGTAATAAACTCCACAAGCTTCCTTCCCTTTACCTGCCACACCACTGTAACTTTTTCACCTTGGCTGAACAATTTCTTGGACTTCAGTGAAACAATTTTTTGGAAATAGATTAAATGAGTCTTGCCACCACCTCTTCAGACTTCCAGCACTTGGACATTTTAATTCTACAATAAAGATGAGCAGAGAGCCTCTTGAACTTCATTTTAATCCCTTGGTTTAAGGGTCAGCAAAACGGACCCATCAGCAGCCTCGCCAAGTGCAGCTGCAGCAAACTGACACGCGTGTATGACATTTCCAAAGGTGATCTGAAAAACTTTTCCGTTTTGGCAAGACCTCAACTCCTATTTTCTCTCACAAGTGCTGGTGACACAATCAATACTTAATAGAAGAACAAAGTGATGGGCAACCTACAAAACTCCTGTAAATGGTTTTTGGTCCAACGGTGGACAAGAGGATGGAGGAACAAACGTCTCAGTCACCCGTGGGGTTTTTTTACAAAGAGAGAAGTCCTGGCCACAACAGCCATTCAGTCCAGCTTAGGATTTCACTGTGGTAGCAACATAAAGCAGAGGGATAAAAAACATTATATTTTTTTTCTTACAATCCTGGCACATATATAATTTCCCTGACCACATCCCATCTGGGGAATCGCACGTATTCACCAATGATATTCTGGCAGTAACATGGAGAAAGAGAGAGAGAGAGAAGTGCAGTGACCCTTTTGTGAGGTTATCACTCATCTTTAGGACAGCCTGCTTTGCAGGATGCTGAGAAGTTTTGGGATGATTTTTTTTTCCCATAAACAGGGCATTCCAAGATCTGTGTGAGGCAAATATTCCTTGCACTGCTTCAGTAATGCTCTCATCTGCATCAGGAAACTGAAAGCTTTTCTCTGGCCTTTATATCTTGGCAGACAAACAACAGAGTCACAAGTTTTGTTTTCTAAGATAACACTTGAAGATCTTAAACAGAAGAACGCAAAACAGAACCCCAGGCCTCTTCGAAATGAGCAAGAAAACTATGCTGGTTGCAGTGAAACCAGGGTTTAGCTCCCGTTCTGATGTGGGGTATGCAGAGGGTCCTTCACTCGGCTATAAGAAAAGACAACCAATCAACCAAACTCATCTGAATTCAGGTTCATATTTAGTTCCAATGAGAAACTCAATTTTAAATTCTCTTAATTTGACTGTTTTTTAACCTCAGTGGAACTCTCTTGGTCTGAATTTTCTTGTGCTGACCCTATAGGACAAACACAAGTAATTATTACCCTCCTGTTAAAATCGTCACTGAAGATATAATCCCCATATGACCTACAAAACACATACTCTCAGCAAACAAACACTGTGTATGCCCACGAGATGCCTCTTTTATTACAAAGGACAATTCATATCAAAGTACCGTTCGTACTTTATTTGCCAAAGCTTTACAAGCACCTGGTTTAACTATACAGGAATTACACTTTCGTATTTGTGGTTTTTCAAAGGAAGACTATTGCTACAACTTCAGCAGGCTCAAAGTGCAAAGCTCACTGAAGTCCAGGGACACCTTTTCCCCAGATTTCCAGAGGTCTAAAGCGCCATTATTCCGTGGGATTGACTGAAAACCAGTCATATGACCCACGCTGGTAACTGTTCAGTGTCCTAGTGAGCCACAGGCAAACTAGACATGCCAATAAAATCCCTCCTGACTTTAAAGCACCTGATCACACTGCCCTGTATCACTGTTGCTTATTGTGTAATATCTGTTGAGGCACACTGGCAGAACTGACCGTTTTGGAGCTGATGGGTCCGGTTGCTGCACAAAGACTGATCTGAAAATTGTAAATATTTCCATGGCAATCTAAGCAGGGAGCTGTCTATCTGGCCACATTCCCTGTCATAGGAAATAATTTTTAAAAAAATGTTTATCACTTAGGAACCTATGGAACAAACTGACACAAAAGAAGAAAAAAACACACGGTGACATTTTCTGTTCCATACTTGCAAAATTCTTCACAGCGGAGACATCCCAGAGAGCTGCGTTTGATTGCAAGATCTCACAGCACTGAATAAGTCTAATTACACCTACATTGAAAGGTACTTTAGAACATTTTTAAGCATTTTGGAGGTTTTTTTTTAAAAAAAAAAATGAAAAAAATGGCTTAATGAAATCATGCCTTATTCCTTTTACTGACAAGCTGAATGCATCCAAACTAAGTATTTAAAAATAACTGGAGTTCACGTCCATTTTCCCAAGTTATTAGTTTGCTCTGTCATTGACATGAGCTCATTCATATTTAAAATCAACTTTAAGCATTTCTCCCCTGCCTTGCAGAGTCAATGATTTATAGACAGCGATATGTTTCACAGCACCTGATAATGGAGCATTAGGAGAAATGCACTTGTTTTTAAAGGGAACATTTTGCATTCCTGAGAAGGAAGCACTGGTGTTAAAAGGGAGCAATGCTTTTATCACCTTTTCGCACAGATTCAGCCACCACATCCCAACAGCAAAGAGCTCCTCGCAAATAACAGCATTTGCCCCGTGCAGCAGCGTTTGCTCCTCCAAAACACAGGGTTAGCAAACACCGATGGCACTCACTGCAAACACACCTTTGCCAAAAAGGGTCTGGTCTGCAATCGGTTCGTGGCATGAAGGAGGAAGTCGAGGCAGACGCCTTCCCCAGCACAGCGTTATTTACAGATGCAATCCACCTTGCAAATGCAATAACAATGTTTTCTCTCCAAAAAAAAAAATTCTTTTGGCACTCCCACGGTTTTATTCCACTCCTCCTTATTTCTACCACCGCCAAGTTCATGCAAAAAAAAAAAAAAAAAAAGAATTGAGGGAATTTATATAACAAACGTCTCCCTGCACGCTCCCAGGATGCTGAATCCAGGCAGCTCCACAAGGAAAATGGCCTGCTTCCCGGGGCCTGAGCCGCTTCCTTGGAAGAATCCCCTTCAACCCCCCCAGGATGCACCCGATCCCCGCAGCCGGGGAGGGGGAGGCAGCCCCGCGCACCCCCCTGCCCCG